AGGCAACAGCTTGGGGTGAAAACAGTATTTCTGGTCTCGAAGTTTGCATAGTAATCTGCAGTAAATAAATAATACTTTATACTGCGTGTGCTTTCTTTTCTCTTTGAAAGTCATCACATAAAGGCATTGTAATACACGGTTCGGCTGCATTAAATATAACACATCTGCCATAGTTCTTTATTTATAGAGCCCTGATTAGAAGACTTCTAGACAAACTGGAAGAACTGCTACCGAAACTGAATGTGTGACGTCACGTGAATCATAAATATATCAGCAATTAAACAACATCTTCAATTTCTCTTCACACAATACGTGTCCTTGCAGTATCAATACTAATTCGGTTGACTTTTATATTTGATCCAATTGGTAGATAGATAACGGTGCACAGTTGATAGACAGGGACTTGTAGTTTTTAAAGATATTATTGATTTTCTTTTAATTAAAGAATGTAAATACTGAGTTGAGAGAATAGTCAGGGGATTTGGGTGATGGGAGACACATCTATGGAATCACAATTTCAATAGCTTACCATTAAATGACGGATATACCTTTCTGTCTGTGATGTTTTACAAATCAGATATTAAGGTGTAGAAGTAAAACATGTCAAATAATATAGCAATATCCTGTACAATTATGTCAAAACATGAATAAAACTACACATCTTCAGATGTTATACATACATAAGTGTCCTACACTAATAATAAAAAGTATAATTTGTTGTGTTAACACTTTCAACTTGACAGTTTTTTAACCCATACCACCTAGTGGTTAAAGCACGTTATTTAATTTTTTTGTTGATATATATTATATTTGATGAAACAAAGTACATACAAAATAGGGGGAAAGTAGAAGGTCAATGATAGAAATATAGAATATAAAATATCAAGAAGATACTGTAAGTAATCTCTACAATAAAACAGTTTAGTGCAGGATGTACAAAGATATTAATAGGAGGATGTGCAAAACAGAAAAACAAATTAACCTTTATGTAAACATTAAAGAATACTTTAGATTAAGGCAGGGGTGCCCAACCTTTTTTGAACCGAGAGCTACTTTTAAAGTTGCCAGTCTGCCGCAATCTACCAGTCCAAATAGAGAGGCGTAGCCATCACTGACAGCCTACTACCAGGTAAATACACACTTCTACTTGTATAAAACTGACCTTTGTACGATTAATACTTCATAAAATACTGCACATCCTTTATCTTACCTCTTTCTAATCTACACACATACAAGTATTTAACTGAAGTTACACAACAGTGTTGTTGATACAGAGTTGGAGTTTATTCACACGTCACATACTACAGTGGGTAATGTTTTCAAGAAACATTGAACAGTGCTGCCACATATGACACAGGAGAAAAAGAAAAGACTCTGAACCCTTTCTTTGCCATTATATAAAAATAGTGTTGCTACAAAAGTATAAATTAGGCTTACTAATAAGACAACTCAGATCTGAAGCTACACAGGAATCTGCTGCCAAAGTGCAATAAAAAAGACAACATTAATAGAATCAAACCCTTTTTTTGTTGTATTTTAGTAGAGTATAAAAATAAATGCCTTTAAGGATGCAAGCAACACTAGCTTCTTAACCTGAATTGATAATATACTATAATCAATTTAAACAGAACAGATCTTAATGTTTGCATTCTTATACCATTTTGTACAATAATCATAATGAATAAGTTCAAACAAACTAAAACTCACAGCTGATTAATAACGGTATCTAACTTGAGTTTTTATTATATCAAAAACCTGTTGAAATGCTACTGTTATTTTTACTGTCCCCAAAAAGCGCGTCGGCAGCCTCCAGGAATGCTTCTTTCACAACTTTGCCGTCTTTGAAAGACTTCATGTGTTTGGCAAGAACGTGACTGACACGATAAGATGCTATGGTAGCAGCTTTGCTCTTGTTGTTGGGCCTGGTGGAAATGGACTGCTGTGCATTTAGCTGTCCTTTCAGGCCCCTCCCCTTTTGGGAGCGTAGGGCAGAATTAGGAGGGAATTCCGTCTTGTAGCGTTTGTGCACTGTTTTGAAATGCCGCTCCTAAATTACCCTTCTTCGATAAAGCCACGCTCGCATTGCAGATGAGACAGATGGACTTTGAATTGGAATAGATACAAAAATAAATCATCCTCCCACTCGAAGTGAAAATTATATATTTTGGGCTTTTTTGCTTCTGCCATAATTGTGGTCTTGTGTGTGTGCGGACTGTCACTCCTGTTGACACGGACAACGTCAGCGAAATAGTGCCCACTGCCCACCAGCCACGCCCCGACACATGGGGTCACGCCGGCCAATCACAAAGCTTTGATGCGTTCAAGTGCATTATTCTGGCACAGGAAGATTATGTTATAGGACATTAACGATAAAAACAGAATATTGTTGTTCTATTTTTAGACACATCTCGCGATCGACTGGTTGGGCACCCCTGGGTTAAGCTCTTCTTGTAAATAAGAAAAAAAGCTAGAGATAAATATTAAGCCTGACAAAGTACTTAACGTCTAATATATTGCTTTCCTGCAATGTTAACTATGTTGAAGCACTTATTTTAACTGATATTATACATATGAATTATACTCTTATAAGATGTATGTAGATAGTATAAGAAATGTGCAGAATATGACAGTTTAAAGGTAGATAGATGTCTTGTAATGCAAAAAACTGGACCCGTTCGAGTCCAGTTTTGGATAGTCTGCCATGGTTTCATTCCATTTCATAGAGCTGTTTGACGCTCGGCGTAACCTTGGCACACTGCCACTCCAACATCCAATCACAGAGCTTGAAGATTAATCACAGGGTTTGCCAAGCAAAGGGACTGTAGTCCCAAACGATAGCTGAGGAGTATGGGTCTCGGCCATCCTAAACTCCGAAAAAACGATTTGTTTCTCCGAATCGAAGGGGAAAAACACAACAGCATTGTACACAATTTAAACCAATCAATGTTGTGTAATTAACAAGGATAAACTGATGTTTTTAGTTGATTTGTACTGCAGATTACTATGCAAACTTCGAGACCGGAAATACTGTTTTCACCCCAAGCTGTTGCCTGGCAAAGCAATTCTGTTGATAGTTATTTCATATCGCATTAACACCATATCCCAACGTGCATTGCGGCTAAAACATCCAATCACCGAGCTTCAACCATAGCTGAGGATCTTGGGTAATCAGTTCAGTGGGTGTTTATCGCCTACATCTGTTTCCGGTGACTTTATTTTGAAATTCAGTTCCTGACGGATGGCAAAAAAGCCAGAGATTATAGAATTAAACAAATAAATAAAAACAAGGATAATTGTGTGTTATTGGTGAGTAAATAACAGTGTGTTATTTAGAAAATAATAACAAATTAGAAAGAAAAAAATATATATATTTCAGTATTCTGAGGCTCTGAGCCCCATTTCTTTTCCTCATGGACGGCAAAAAAAGTCCGACATTATACGATTTAAAATAAAAACAATAATCGTGGCTTGATATTGAGTAAGAAAATGTTTTTATGAACCACACAGCTTCCGGTCTTCCAAGACCCGACCGGACAAAAAGACGTGCTGCAGGCACGAAACATACTACCAATAGAAATACATTGCTTTTAAAATCGTTCTGTGTGACACGAAAAAGAAAAAAAGGGGAAAATCGTGTTGGTGAACACGAATCAATAGATTAAATGTTGTGACTATAACAAGAAATGCCGTGAGACTGGGTTGGGATAGCACAGTGACTCACTATGGCATCTCAAGTCAAAGTATATAAGACAAGACAGGTTGGGGCAAACTTCTTATCTTGCTCATTTAGTAGTTTTCTCTGCAATAAAATACATAAACGTCTTTGACATAACTTTAAAATGTTAATAATGTTTATTTGTAATGGTTGTGTAAACCTAAATTCTGGCCATATCACACACATTGTATCTCTGACACATGTTCATAAGCCAGATGCAGACCTAAATTCCCTGGCAATCATTTCCATTTTCATTCCTGTTCAAGCCATGTATTTCCACATCCTACCACCTCTTCATTTTAACAACCTTTTAGCAAGCCAGTAGGTAATGGAAAATGATACATTTCAATGGGTTTTATACTTAAAATTCCTCCCTGACTTGCCGGTGTGGAATATTTATGATAGTAAAACACATTGCATTTCCAGTCTATCAAGAAGAGCCGCAGGCAAATATGTGTTCCGTTGGGGGAATATTTTATCTCTACATGGTAGCTCCTTAAATGGATTTATGACTCATAAAAACAATCTACAGGAAGCATTGCGCACATAAATGACATGGCTCTTTACCTCGTTGGCTCCGTAGAGGAAGTGCATCACAAAACAAGAAGAGAAGTGGGCCCGTGGTTACCTGGGGAGATGGGTCAATAAACGCCAGCACGGCATCATTAGCCATGTCACTTAATGATGGAGCCGACTGCATGTGGCCATGTGGAAACAATGCTAGGCAACAAGAAAAAAGCCTTTTTTTGGGATGTTTCACAAATGTCATCAGGCATTTAGAAGAAAGCCTAGATGGGGCTTGGGCCGCTTGGCACACTTCAGGAGTTGAGTGTTTTTCTCTTCTCGACTTGGGGAGCATCAGGAGACAACATATTTCTTTATTTTGTATCCATATGCTTCCGAGCCCTCATATTGCCATCCATAAGGGGATATATGTGACGTCCTGCTGGCGGGTCTATTTGACTCTCCCACGCGATATGGGGGATTTTGTTTCTATCAGCGAGGTGAGTTGTGGTTGAATGAGCAGAGGGAAGTTAGATGTGTCCTTTAATAGCTCCCTGTCAGGGGGGGTACACATTACATATTTGCTTTTGGAGAGGAAGAATCTCACAAGAGGAAATACCTTGACAAGCATGAAAGAGTATTCTATTATCGTGTTCCCTCAAATGCTTCATGGGCATGTCTATTTAATTATTTTGTACTAACATGAAAAGCTTTCTGTTTTGTTCCTAGTGCCATCTAGTGCTTTCCCTTTCTATCTGATAGTTATGTGACGCACACAAACCTGAATGAGGTGCTTGGTCTCCACAGCAACAGGTCTCCCCTCTCTCATGCTGTCGGTGAACCAGCTGATGTCCAACACATTCACCCCGGGTAGATTCTTAGGGGCACATTCCTTTAGCCACTTCCACAGGGATGAGGCTCGGCTGTCCTCTGACACCACATGAGTGACCTCATCACTGGAGAGACAGGAGAAAATAAGATGTCAGAATGCTCAGTGCTTACTTTATGGTGTTATTCAACTCTGTCAAAGGTCACAGAGAGTGGTGGGGTTAGGTTACATTTCTAAAATCAAATACATGTAAAGAAACCACGTAAAATTCATAACAGTTTCCCACAGACACCATTTCCATCACCAGGACCCGCGGTTTAAAATCACGTGTGTTTTTGTGTATTTAAGTGACATGGGCATCACTTTGTTTTGAAAAGTGGTTGGGAGACAATTTCAGATAATACACTAGGTACGTAGGCCTACTATTTTTAAGAAACACCTGTACACACAGGATTTGCAAAGTAAAGTGTTCTCATAATGTATTACTAGGCAGCAAATAACCTCTTCCTTTTGAGTTAGCTAACGTTAGCTAATGTCCTTAGTTTGCTAAGGTTCTAAATACAAAATCTAAATTACTTGTACTAGCCTTATGAGCTTGGTGCTACCTTTTTGAAATACTTGCACAAAGCAATCTAAATTTAAAGGCTGCTATCATTTCTGAGTGATGTTTGGTGCTGGGTATAAAGTGTACAATAAACTTATTAGAGCTTTGCAATAAAAACAGCTGCCTGCCTCAGCTGAAAACACAACACAACAAATACGTTTTTAGAATAATGCTAATAATAAGACGACAAAATCAATGTTTAGGTAAGGACTCCCAGGATACTTTATATTGTTTGATTGAAAGATTTAATTCACTGCTCGATTGAACAAAAATAACTTTCCTTCGTCTCAGCAGCTTTGAGAGTCCAGAGGTTCAAGGGAGGCTTTTGAAATGCAGCTTGGATCTCAGTATTCTGTTCTTCCTCGTGCTGTTTGGGGATCAACACTGGGTGAACAACAATCAGCACAGAGCCTCAGTGCCTCCCTCCACTGTTTGATAGCCCAACTCATTCAACCGGTGCCTCCACCAGCACCGCAGAGACTTTCTCAACAGACTTTTTATCACCGCCTCCTCCCCTCTGCTTCTAACTAACATAACCAATCAGGGCGCCCGGCCGTGCATAATTACCCTCTGCATGCTCCTCCTCTTCCCCCTCTCCTGCCGGTGGTAAATCAGTGGAAAGACTCTTTAAAGGATGTCCTAGCAGAGCTCAGGCTAAGTCACTGGCGAAACTAATCTTCTATATGCTCGGCACATCGTTCCAGCCCCTGATGGGCCATGTTTTTAAAAAAAAGTCAATCCCAGATTCCCAGCACAAGGAAATGGACAAAAAGCCTCTAAAAAAGATACATTTGAGGTATCTAAGGGGCACAGCTATAATCTCTGAAAGCTTAGATATATTTGCCTGAATCTGGATTCTTATCATGACTCACATGATAAGAATCCAGAATCAGCCGCACAGAATGTGAAATGGCAGATTGACATGCAAATTAGCAAGAATGTGAGCCCAGCAGCAGATTGTTCTTCCCAAAATCAGTGGGACCCTGAGCCCGGACACAAGGACAGGCTAAAGTCAATGGGCTTTCATAGAGAACTCTCTCGAGTCGTCTCATGTCAGCAGATACGCTCCTCTTCCTTTCAGTGAAAACCAACAGGCACATCATGATGCATCATGATGTGCCTGTTGGCATGTCCATAAAGGATTTGTACACCATGGTAAGGTTGTATTGGTTTGTTGGGACTTGACAGCAGCTCCCATGAGATATCTTTACTCATAAACACAATCACACGATCATTTTAGGTAGTCAATTAATTATAATAAATACATAACAACTTAATGTGGCAAGACAAACTTTTTTCCTGGGAGTTGCCATTATTTAGCACACTCTTTAAATAGAAATGTCCACGTATAACTGTCCAAGGACCAGGGACCCATTGTCTCCAAATAGTAATAATGTAAATATGCTACTGTGACCATTGGGTGCATTTGTATATCCAATCTGACACTAAAATGAAAGCGTTGTTGATCTAACAAACAGAGCGTTCCATTTTTTATATAAGTTAATGAAAGGGTACGTTTAAATACGTACATAAAAGAAGAAATGTACTATTACTATGTCAAATACAAAATGTATGGCCTCTTGCTTGTCAGTGAGGATGGCAAATTGTCACGATTTTAGTTTTGTCTGTCTTGTCATGGTTTTATTTTTGAAATTCTGTTCTCCCTGTGTCTTGTCTTCCTTCCTGTGTTTGCCCTCCTTTGTCTGATTGTCTGATTGTGTTCACCTGTTGCCCTTGTGTTTCTGCCTCCCCTGCCCAGCTGTGTCTTGTCCTGTGAATACCCCTCTTTGTATTTAGCCTTGTCTTCCCCTGTGCTCCATGTCGGTTCGTTGTCTTTTCTCACCCTCCATGTTTGTCACGTTTCAGGTTGTTTTTTGTCCTCATGCTACGTGTTTTGGATTTATGATTTTGTCTTTATTGCCAGGTCAACAGCTTTGATTAATAAAGCTTGCTTTTGTTTTGAAACCTGCTTCCCTTTTTAACTGCAATTGAGTCCTGATATTCCCGAATCCTGACACAGATTAAAAGTAAAAAAGCTAAACTTGCCCCTCTTTTATGCCCTGAGCACGGTCTGATGCTCCAAGTGAGCTACTCTGAATATCTGAACGCTCCGGGTTTACGAACAATCCAGTTAGCTGAAGGCAACACAAGTCCATTGATATGTTTAGGGAAAGATTATTAATTGGGTTGAAATAATTGTCACTTAAAATAATTCACAGCGTGTCACACGAGACATGAGCTTTGCTGACTTTTTACCACAAAACCAGATTCACAACTTATCTCCCGACATGATTACTACTTGCCACTAGAGGTCTGCGTCGTCTTTTATTAGTATTGGTGATCAATACTAGATGATAAAGGCAACTTACCTGTGGGTAACTCATATATTTGAGGCTGATAATCATGGAAAAAGCTATCCAAAGAGCTGATAACAGCTGAAGCAGCTGAATCACCCCTTAACGTTAACCCCAAGTGCAATTGCTGGGACCTGATCTGACACTCTTCCTACTGCTAACACGGGTGTTAGAACACGCCTGTCGAGTATCCAACTTAAAACAAACTAAACTAACTTCACAATCAGTTCTGAAAGAGCAATCAGTGCAGCTCATCAATCAGCCATGGCAACATGTCGATATCGAATCCGTGTTCATGTGCATCAGACTTGAAATTCAGCCAAGGGGTGTGGGTGTGTGTGTGTGTGTGTGTGTGTGTGTGTGTGTGTGTGTGTGTGTGTGTGTGTGTGTGTGTGTGTGTGTGTGTGTGTGTGTGTGTGTGTGTGTGTGTGTGTGTGTGTGTGTGTGTGTGTGTGTGTGTGTGTGTGTGTGTGGTGTGTGTGTGTGTGTGTGTGTGTGTGTGTGTGTGTGTGTGTGTGTGTGTGGCCTAGCATTACTATACTTGTGGGGACCTACATCTGTTTACACAGTCACGTGTGGGGACTCGCCTCCCTTATGGGGAGAAATTGGAGGTCCCCATGAGGGGAATCATTAATTTTAGGGTGAAGACTTGGTTAGGTTTAGGGTTAGGGTTAGGGTAAGGGTAAGGGTTAGGCATGTGTTGGTTAGGGTTAAGGTTAGGTAAGTCTCCAGGAAATGCATGTAAGTCAATGTAATGTCCCCTGAAGTGATGTATACATGGTGTGTGTGTGTGTGTGTGTGTGTGTGTGTGTGTGTGTGTGTGTGTGTGTGTGTGCGTGCGTGCGTGCGTGTGTGCGTGCGTGCGTGCGTGTGTGCGTGCGTGCGTGCGTGCGTGCGTGCGTGCACAGATTAATGCACACAGTGTAGCTGACCATATGCTCAAGGCACTGTGCCTATAACTTGTCTAGACTAGACTAGATACGGGAGGTGTTGCTAACTGCAGCTGATATCAGTTTTGTCGGCTTGCAGAATAAATGTCAGTTTGAGGCAGGCACGCTCTACTTCCTGTCGTTGGTTTCAAACAATTGCATCAAGCCAAGTGTAACCGTAGGAGCGCTCAAGCTGTGTTTCTGGGAATGTTGCCATGGCCAAGCTGGAGCATGGCTGGCAGGCCCACTTACAGTACACCCACATATGAACACTCACACCCATGTTCATGAGTGCCTTTTATTGACCTTAACCACATGCTAACTTCCTAACCTTTCTTATATATTCAAAGTCAAATTGCGTTTCCCAGTGATTCCAAGATTTAATAACAACAAAAGAAGCTAGTCGTTTTTTCTCTTCTTCAAGCTAGACATACATTATCCGTCTTTTGGAAACACCCAGAGAACCCCTCGCTCAGTCACTGGTAAAAAAAAAACCTCTCTCATGGTCTGGCCTTAGAGAATTTTTTTGGAAAGACACTAGATATGACCTTTATTATTAGCAATGTATAAATGTATAAGATATATATCAAAATATGATTGGATTTTAGCTTCTTGTCTACCAACTTTATAACTTACTGTTCAAACCTTTCGACAATTCCCATGTCCATTGACATCTTTTAAAATCATTTATGTTGTTTTGAGTTCTCTCTTTTTAATTATCGTTTACTGTCAACATCTGTATATGTATATTTTGGTATGTTATTAATGTATGTATTTATTTTTTTGCTTGGTTGTATTGATTTATTTTCTCTAAAAGAGGAGAGACTGCATCAACAGTATCACTAGCCCCAAAGAAACCGGACACCGAACCATTTGGGGATGTGAAGCAGAGAACTTCTGCTGTGTTCACAGTTTGGGATTTAAAAGATGCTTCCAATCAGGGATGGATTACATTGAAGAAGCCATGCTGCTTCCATAATTACTGCACAACACTGTAGATGATTCATCATAGCATTCTTATTATAGACACATGCATTTCCAAACATTTGGTCTACCTATGTTCTAAATGTATTATCTTTTCGATTTACACACGGCATCTATTACACGTCTGTGTCAAATGTAACAATGTAACACCTCTCCTTAAGTGTGACTTCACAAGAAACTCGTTAAAAAAGTTTGTGTGTGCTCTGTTACCTTTCCTCCAATGTTTTTTTGTTTTTTAAACAAGCTGTAGCTGGGTGGGTTCACCAATTTCTTCCCCTTCTTAAACGTATTTATGTAGGAGCTGTGAGTTATGGCTCAGGGGGAAATCCACTAAGGTGTAGCGGAGACAGGATGGATGCCCTAGCCCTTCCTAATTAAGTATTCATGAGACAATAGTGGTTCTCTAATTAGCTAATTGGAACTAAAGTTCAGAAAAAAAGGAGCATGTTTTCAGGAAAATGCCACAAAGTCACACAGAGTATCTCCCTGGTGAATTTCTTTTTATAACACTAACAAGACTTTTTTTTTCAAAGGAACAGGCTGTCTTTCCTGTAAACATAAATTCCATTCATTATTAAGATATTACACTGCTTCTACAAACTATATACACATGTTTATTTATGAATAAATAATAATAGTTTTCCTCATTGCATTTATTGACCATTTTCAAGCAGTCCTTTAATTAGTATGTTGACCTTCTTTTTCCCTAGAGTTACAATAAAGGCCTTGAAAGCAAAACACAAGTTTAAACCATTCTGGCTGGCAGCTGAACACGAAACAGAAAAAAGACTCCTGCATCCCTCTTAGCTCCACATTGACATGTTCACTTCACATTTAGAAAAGCTTTTAGGCACCGAGCTCAATCTGTGAACATAAAAAACAAGTTTTTCTAACCTTAGATTGTCGTCCACAATAAAGCCCTTAGATCTGGCCAGCTGGGTCAGAAAGTTTCTCCTGCTGCATCCCATTTTTCTCTCCACCAGGTACAGTCTGACATCTTTAAACTTCACCACATCATGTCTGGGAACAGCGGCTTCCACTGGTCTTGATCTTTTCCTAGCAAAAGGCACAATAGGAGTGTGGAACATCTCTTCTGGGGTGAGCTATCGTATTTCAGGACCTCTAGGAATCTGTTATTTTAGAGCTTTTATTGTTGTTGTTCCCCAGCTTGCATCCAGGTACACACTTTGGTAATGCCACCGTTGTTTATTTCACACCAGTGTATCTTCCTTTTGTATTCCCTGGGACAGTGTGTCAGTTAGAGCAGGGTTGGTAATAGTTGAAAGACAGGAAAAGCCTCTAACAGGTGCTGAGGATTTGGTGTTTACCAAAAACCACCTGCAAAGATCGAATGATTAAGGATGGGGGAAAGGAAGATAAAAAAAACACCCTATTGGCATGGCATAATACACTTCCAGTAAAAGTTTTTCTGCAAACAACAGTTTGGAGGAAGTAAACATCGCCTCAAAAAATTTCTTGCAGTTGTGACTATTCTGTTGGCTGGAGTAAAGCCTCACTCCTGGGAGATGCTTGAATTCTTGTCACCTCACGAATCTCCCACAGCTGTCCTGCCATGTCCGGTTCGTCTCGCCACTCACTGGCTCATTATGTCCGGACCAAGTCTGCACCATCTGCTCCAGTGCTTTAATTAGCTTACTGCCTTAAAATGAAAGCCTTTGTGGGCATTTCCCCCGAGATCCCACAAGCTCATACACGGCCTTTGCACACACACAGGTAATGTATCGAGCGGGCCATTGATGATTAGGAACATTCATCCAGGGAAGAATAACTGTATGTGCATTGGTCAGGAACGCAAACGGAAAATGGATTTAATCTTTATAACTCTTCTTATCCTTTTCTTTCTAAAGATGTAATTACAACATGAGCCGTTGCCTTGTGTTGTTTAGATGTATCCGCATCAGCGGTCAACAGAAAGAAAAGGTTTAAATGTCACTTTGTTGTAATTATCTACCATAATGTTTCTACTCCAGTAGACCAAATAGAAATGATTTGTTGATTTAGGCGAAGGAAGGAGGGAGGGGGGGGGGGGGTCATTACAGGCCTTGATTCTACTCTAATTACAAAGTCGCAGTTCATTTCTTCACTTTAATAAGCACACCTTGCCTCTGTCAGCTCGACAGAATTTGTTTACACTAGTCTCATTAGCATGGAGTTCTGAGGGTTAAAGGGTGTCACAGTGCAGACGTGACTAATTGCCGGGCTATGTAACACCCCAAACGCTCAGCTGTATATGAGGGTGCTGGCCCCTATTCAAACTGAGGCCGATGACATCCTACCATCAATAATGGCGCATTTCCACTGCAGCGCGTAAGCATGCCGTGAGAGAATCGCTGGCAAGGGGGCTACAACTACAACAAAATGAACATATTTTACCATGATTTAATTGTAATACACGTTTCTAAATGATGCCGAAGTAACAGCATACTGATACCGGTTAGTAAAAACCATGAATTAATGCTTTGACAAGTCTGCAGACAGACGGCAGGCGAAAAACCTTTTAAAATGCGTGTTTACTGAATGGAGATTGGCTAAGCTAACGTTGTATATGCTCCGACCTTCCACACTCACAACAACGGCCTATAGGCTACAGACCGGTAGAATATCCCGCATGAGTAAACTCCCCCCCCCCCCGCCCTCTTTTTTTGTAAAGCTTTATACCCAGAATCAGCATTTTAGTAACAGGGTTGAAATAGAGGGATATGAGCAGGGCTGCACATAACTGGTGCGCAGGTGTGCATATGCCAAAAAAAGAGCACCGGGTCATTTGAAAAAAGGCGCATTTGCGTACCAACATTGAGAGAGAGAGAGAGGAGAGAGAGAAGAGAGAGAAGGGAGAAGAGAAAAGAGAGAAGAGAAGAGAGGAGAGAGAAGAGAGAAAGATATTTGCGAGTTGCATATGAACTCAGGGCCGGCCCGTAGCCCTGGCGTTATGGAGAGGCGAAGTCCCTCCCCTTCCGAAAGCCTCCATGGGACCCCGAAAGCCTCCATGGGACCCCGGAAGCGGAAAATTATACATTGAAGTCAATGGAGAGAGAAAGGTTATCTTTTGATTCCGTTTGAATTGTGCCACGAATGACATATATGATGTTTGTCAATTTAAAAGAACATTTTGCAAGTCAAAAAAATAAAAATGTGTCGTAAAACTGTGAAGTTACACATTTTTTTGTGTGAAACCGCTCAGTGAACTACAGGTCTCTCGTCTCGCACAATACGCGTCACCAACATAAAGATGGCCGTCACGTTAGCACATTTCACCACATTCTTTCAGAATGAGAATACAATTATTTTACGAGGTGAAAATCACTACAAGTCTGGGCACGTTGAGAGCTGTACCTATATGAAAGGGGAGTTAGTCGGTTCTGTAAGAGCCAGCATGCGGGACCAGCTTTACAAGGTTTCGGTGAATAATATGAGTGCAATGTTTAACGTTAATGTCAGCTAGCTAACATTAGCTAACAAGGTACACTAACGTGTTTTGTTTTAGCAACTAGTTTTCTCCTTAAGAACTTTGTGGTCTCTGTGTATGCTGTGGATAACATTAGTGTTCACAAGAACAAGGTACACTCCCGTGTTTTGTTTTAGTTGCTCTTCAGATTGAAGCGGCCAGTTTTATATTGTGGTGACCACCTATTAATACACTGGGACATAATTCATACATGGAACTACAGTTGGGGCTATTGTTTCCACACGGACATTTATGTGTTGTTATCTATATATGTTGTGTGCCCTCCTGGCTCTTTCTCTTGTCGTCCCGGGCTGCGACCCAACAACATCTACATTTCTGCTGCTCATTAAAGCAAGCTTTGTACCTCCATTGCACCGCCTCCAACTCCCTATCTCTCGGCACTACATTGGTGACCCCGACAGCGTCTTGGGAAGTTTCCGAGACGGACCCGAACACGGCAAAGGAAACCCAGGTTTCTTTCTCGAAATGCGGGAGATTTTTTGGAGTCGACCGTAGCTGCTACAGGCACGCGGACTGAGGCTCGGTGCGCGCCTCGTGGAATGGCTGAGGATGTTGCTCGCCATTCCCGCATCTGCCTTCCGACTACAGGGGGGGACGATGCACGACCTGCTGGGTAGGGATGAACCCGATTGCTACCTCGTGGGGTTGTTTCTTCGGGGCGTGCGGCTGCACGTCCCAGCTGCGCTAGCTAACGACAACTAGCAGCTAACCACGTTGGCTAACTACGGCTAGCAGCTACCGGTGGCTGCCAGCTAACGGCAACAGCTAACGGCTATCGACCCTTTTGAGTTTTTGCTTTTTTTCTGGTGCCGGAGAGGAGGTTCGACCAGCCGGTTGACCTCAGGTGGACACTCTCACATTTTTCACCACCTCCACGGCGGTTCCAGACACCACTCACGTTTTCATCGACGCCTGGGTGGTGCACTCCTGGACCCCGTCTCGCCTCGACGGTTTTGGACGTCGCCCATGCTGCCATCGGCCCGTGGGTGGCGCGCTCCGGAGCCTGTCTGGCCTCTCCTGCCTTCCGGGGATATCCAGACGCCACTCACGTTCATCGGCGCCTGGGTGGCGCACTCCTGGACCCCCTCTCGCCTCGACAGTTCCGGACGTCGCCCATGCTCCATCGGCCCATGGGTGGCGCGCTCCGGGACCCTGTCTGGCCTCTCCTGCTTCCCGGGGATGCCTCAACATCTGCTGAGGACTTCATGCCCGCCGCCGCGGCACGTCTGCCTGCGGCCGGGTTGCTCTCCTGCTTCCCGGGGATGCCTCGACGCCTGCCGAGGACTTCGTGCCCGCCGCCGTTGCACGTCTGCCTGCGGCCGGGTTGCGCTCCTTCCTTCCGAGGACTTCATGCCCGCCGCCGCTGTGCCCTCGCCTGCGGCCGGGCAGCGCTCCTTCCTGCTGGGGACCACCGGGTTGTTGACGCCCGTCGCGACTCAGCGACCCGGCTTTCACCGACTGGCGGGTGATGACTTCATTCGCCACGACGCCTACTGCGGCCCCCTTCCGACGGCCCATTCCATGGCCCGGTCCTCACCTGCGGCCCCACCCTCCTCGGCCCCTGTGGTGCTTCCTCCACGGACGCGAGGATTTTTTTGCCATGTTTGAATTCTGGGGGGGGCTTGTGTGGTGACCACCTATTAATACACTGGGACATAATTCATACATGGAACTACAGTTGGGGCTATTGTTTCCACACGGACATATATGTGTTGTTATCTATATATGTTGTGTGCCCTCCTGGCTCTTTCTCTTGTCGTCCCGGGCTGCGACCCAACAATATCTACATTTCTGCTGCTCATTAAAGCAAGCTTTGTACCTCCATTGCACCGCCTCCGACTCCCTATCTCTCGGCACTACAATATCGACTATACTGTATGTGTGATCTCCTTTTCTCGTTGTGTCATTTGACTTTATTTGCTGTGTGTAGATTCAAGGATTTTGGTTATCTAGGCACAGCTGTGTGTGACTCCCTCTGGTACACTGGTATGTGTTTTCCTAATGTAGAGAGCATTGATTAATTAATAAACTACACACTGAGTCTAGATCCTGACCAAATCCTTTTTTATTGTTGATCAAATGTTTTTCAAAAATGTATTCATACACATTTAGAAAAATACAATGTACAATCACAACCAATACAACACAAATTACAAAAATACAGAAAAAAACAAACAATAACAACAGACAAGAGGACAAAACTATGGAAAAATAAACCCTCCCACCCCCAGATCCGGACCATCCTTGTATTATTGCTCATTCAATCTATTATAGCATGCTAACAAATGGTACTTACTTTATTTTTACAGATCTGCATGGGAGACGATGGCGCGATGCAGAGCGCTGTCTGTGATTGTGCACAGGAGATGTACAAATGCAGCCACGCTGCAGCATTGGCAATATTTGCCATGTGGCAGATCAGCTCCACAGATGTTGAGTGCCAGTGGAGGAAGCCTGGCACTTCCAAAGTAGTCCAGCCGGTGTCTCAACTTTACCAACAGCGAGAGGAGACATACAACCCACTGGCCAGAGACATCGCCAACTGTCAACTGGGGGGTTGTAAACGAAGCCGAAGGGGGTGAAGGCTTTTGTGGAGGCTTT